GCCTTTCACTCCTGGGTATCCCTCCCTCTGCCCTGGGCATCCATCCTTCACCCCTGGGCATCCCATCCCCGAGAATTCCCATCCCCGAGCATCCCCATTCCTCAGCATCCCCATTCCTCAGCATCCCCATTCCTCAGCATCCCCATTCCTCAACATCCCCCTCCCTGAACATCCCCATTCCTCAGCATCCCTATCCCCGAGCAACCCCATCCCTGAGCATCCCCATCCCTGAGCATCCCCATCCCTGAGCATCCCCATCCCTGAGCACCCCCATCCCTCAGCACCCCCATCCCTCAGCATCCCCATTCCTCAGCATCCCCATTCCTCAGCATCCCCATCCCTGAGAATCCCCCATCAGCCCTGAGCATGTTCCCTTCAGCCCTGGGCATCCACTTCCAACTGCTGTATGTGCTTGTATAAGGAAAAATAAATAGTGGAAAGAATTCGACCCAGTTTTCTTACGGCAAAAGCTTTGGCTTCCAATTAACGTGTGTGCTAATTAACGCTGGAAGAAAATGCTTCAAAAGGCAGCCACCTGAAATATTTGGTACATGTGAGATACATGGCTGTGAGAGCTCTGTCCCAGTTCCCCATGATTTTTAGATCCTTCTGGCCGTTGCTTTTGTGCCTCATAAACCTTGTGGACACGCAGTGACATTTCCTGTGTGTCTCATAATTCCCACCTGCCGGGCCTGGGGGATAATTGGGCTTTTTCCTGTGTGGCTGCAGGGGAAGCAGATCGAGTTTTACATCATATTTTAAAGTGGTTTTTTTCCTTCCAGAGGAGGGAAAGGAGCTCTTTGGAATGGTAGTTAATCCAGCTTGAGAACTTCTGGAGCAGGAAAATTACACGAGTGAAATTGAGGATTGCTTTACTGGCTGCTAAGATTCCAGCTCCAGTCACTCAACTGTTTGAAATAAAGGATTACTTAGAATACTCAGAGCTCAGACTGGTGTGTCACCAAAAAATAATGTATTCAGGGGAACATGGACCCTTTGGAAAAGCTGGAATTGTTATTGGGGAGGTACCCATTCCTGCAGAAGATTTGGATACGAAAGAGTGACAGAGTCCTTTGCTTTTGTTCCAGAAAATGAATTTAACTGAAATTTCTTGTTTGTGCCTTTTAATTCTCCTATTGTACAAACATAGTTGGGGGTTCTTGAAATTTTCCTCCATCCCCCAAGAGTCTGCGTGTAGCAGTGTGGCTGGAAAGTGGAAATACTTCCAAAGGGCAGGAATTCAGCCCAAATGCCACTTCCTGGGGATGGCAGTGGGAGCAGCAAGTGTAGAAGCAAAACTGAAGCTACTGTCAGAGCCACTTCAAACCTGTGACAAGGTGTTTAAGCTGGAATCTGCTCAGGCAGCTTTTGGGTGCAGGTTCCCTCTGCCCAGGCAGGTTTTCCCAAGCTGCTTTCTGGTTTGCCTCCTGCCTTGGAGCTCACGGCAGGAACAAGCACCTTGGGATGAAATTCCCCTCACTCCACATTGTTTCCATTGCAGTGGAAGATTGATGACAAGCCAGTAAAAATTGACAAATGGGATGGTTCAGCTGTGAAAAATTCCTTGGATGACTCTGCCAAAAAGGTAGGTTCTCTCTGCTGAGTTGTCCCTCTTGGGAAACTCCCTGATTTTCTTTCCTGCCCGTATCCATGCCAGGTCTGTGGCATCTCTCGTGATTCCCACATGTTTGTGCCCAATAGGGATCAATTACCAGGATGCCTGATGCAAACATGAATTCCCCATAAACTTTCTGCTCAGTTCACCTGTATCACTGGGATTGTTCCCTTCAAACCCTTCCCAGAAACAGTGTGTCACATTCCTGAAGAGCTCAGGATATACTCTGCCTGTTTCTCCCACAGGTGCTCCTGGAGAAGTACAAATATGTGGAAAATTTCCGTTTGATCGACGGCCGCCTCATCATCTGCACAATCTCTTGTCTCTTTGCCATTGTTGCTTTGATTTGGGATTACCTGCACCCTTTCCCTGAATCCAAACCGGTTCTTGCCTTTTGTGTTGTCTCATATCCTTTACAGATCTTGTCTTGGTTATACCTAGAGGGTTCACAGGAACAAAACCCTTTTGGATATTCCCATTTTCATGCCTGTGGGAATTATATGTCCTGTCATGTGGAGATCAGCTGACAGTCAGACAGTTTTCATGTGACAGGAGAACGCCTGCCTGTCTGGGTGTAATGACCCTAAATTTGGGTGGTCTGAGGCAGATCCTTTTTTTTTATTCTATCCACAGTCTGGTTACAGACGTGTTTGCTTTTTCCTAATACCATGGGTCAGATACTGAGAGGGAAAAGAGGAAATTCTTGCCAGCAGCTCTCTGCAAGGGATCTCACTCCATGAGGTTCGGCAATGCGAAGGATTAGTGGTGGCCTTGGCTGGAGGAATGGTGGCCTGGGGGAGTGGTTGGACTTAATGGTCTCGGAGAAGTTTTCCAACCGAAACAATTCTGGGATCCTGAGGAATTTTGTTGTTCCCAGCTGTTCTGGGTGGCTTTCGGAACAAATGAGTGATTTGTCTTGCAGCACTTGAAACTACTTAATTCCATAAGTGGGAAAGTGGAATTACTTGGTCTGTCCTTAGGAGGAATGCCCAGAAATTCTTTCAGTGTCTTGTTCAGTCTCAAGTTTTCCCACTATCTCCCAGCAAATGTTAGGGAATCCCAGACTGGTTTGGGTGGGAAGGGGCCTTAGAGCTCATCCAGTCCCACCCCCTGCCACAGGCAGAGACACTTCCACTAGACCAGGTCATTCCAGGCCCCATCCAGCCTGGCCTTGGACACTTCCAGAGAGTGAATAATAAATGATTAAAGTTGAAATTTATTACATAATTTCTCATGCTAATGAAGCATCAGCCAGACATCCTGTTTGGAATTAAAATTTCATGAGCAGTGGTTAAACAACAGTGTCTGAGGGGATCCAAGCGGCTTCTCTGCCTAATTCCTGCTTCTCCTTGTACCTTCTGAATTTCCTTAGCTTTCTCTGCACATATTTTGTAATGATGGGAATTTTGACCATTTATACCTCATACAAAGAGAAGAGTATTTTCTTGGTGGCTCACAGGAAGGACCCGGCAGGGATGGATCCCGACGACGTCTGGCAGCTCTCCTCCAGCCTCAAACGGTACCGTTTGCTCTGGCAGCCTGGGCTTAGCCAGCAGGCACCACTGCCATCCCTCCCTCGCCAGAGATCACTCCAAATCCATTCAACTCCATCAAAATCCATGTCCTGGGCTAGGAACAGAAGCTGCTCCAAGTGGTTTTCTGCCACCAATGTTCATGTTCCACTTGTGTCTAATGCGGGGTATAAAAGGCTCTGATGGTGTTAATTGTGAGTGCCCAGGTGGGGAGCTCCAGTCCAGGAGGGGGTTTCTGTCCTGAGTGGGATCCCGCTCTGAGGTCTGTCTGCCCTCCCACAGGTTCGATGACAAGTACACCCTGAAGCTGACATTCATCAGCGGGAAAACAAAACAGCAGAGGGAAGCCGAGTTCACCAAATCCATCGCCAAGTTCTTCGATAACAACGGGACGTTAGTCATGGAGGCCTACGAGCCCGAGGTGTCCAAGCTGCATGACAGTCTGGCCCTGGAGAGGAAAACAAAATGATTTGGGAGTCCACCCGCCTCCCAGGAACCCGCTAAATTAACACCAATAAAGTCAAATGGCAAAGAACGTGAATCATGGCCTCTGTTTTTGTCCTGAAGTCCTATTGCATTTTGGATAAGCAGGAATTTTAATCTTGGACCCAAGTTTTGTTGAAGCTTATGGCTAAGTTTGGTCTGTGTGCCTGCCTTCCAGGCTCTGAGATGGATCCCAGAGTTGGATTTTGGGGACCCTCAGGAGGAGAAACACGTCACCAATGCTGCCCCAGTGTCCTCTGCTTTACATGGCAGTGCTTTCTCACATGGCTCTGTGTCCAGGGGGTTTTACCAATCCCTCCTTTCCATTTTCTGTTAGGAGTTCAGGACAAAACCCTTCTGTGAAGCAAACCATCCCCTCACAAACAAGTTTGCTTTATTTTTGTATTTATCTAATTGGGGGTAGAGGATTGTTTTATATAAAAATCTTTCATGTGTTGCGGGGGGAGAACCAAATATGCTACTTCTGCGTGCTCAGCCACAAAGCTTCTGCGAAAGTGTAAAAGATTTTCCAAGCTGTGTCTCTCTGTCTGTCCTGTGGTTCCCTTGTGGCACCTCCTGTTCCATGCGTCCCTTCTATAAACTGGCATTTTTTAAAAGAGAGATTTGTTTGTTTGTTTGTTTGTTTGTTTGTTTTTCAATAAAAGGGAAGAACAGACATCAAACGTGTCTTGGAGCATCTCTGGGTTGTTTCATACCTGGGGAGGGAATCCCAGTTCACAAAACCCTCAAAGCTGGAAGAGTCCTGGCATTCCTGTACCACAATCTTGTCACCTGAACCTCATCCCCAGGTGCCACAGGATGAAGATGGCTCTTCTTTTCATCTTGTTTGGGCTTGGCTGCCTCACCTCAGGGAACCCCAAGATTCACCTTCACGATTTTCCAGCCCTCCCTCTCCACACCTGTTCCACAGGAGCACCTGGGAAGGCACGGGAAGCCAGTGGAGGATTCTCCTGGCATCCCAAGCAGGCTCCTGCCTCCGTCCCTCTCTTGGCTCCCCTCCTGCCCGTTGGGGAGAGGGTCGGGACCCCTCGGCAGCGGTTCCACCTGTCAATCTCCTCTTGATATTCCACCATTCCACCTCCCCCCGTAGGAGCGCCGGAAGAGGAGCACATCACCTGCCCACACAGGTATTGTCCCTGCTGCCCTCCGGCAGCGGCGCCGGGCTCTGTAATCCCGACAGCCGGATCCCCGCCCGTTTCCCCGGGCCGAGCTCCTGTATCCGGCCCCCCCGGCCCCGGGAGCTGCAGGAAGAGGCGGAGCGGGGCGGCCCCGGCGCGGCGGCGGCGGGAGGAGGAGCGGGGTCTGCGGGGATGGGGGGGATGGAGGAGTGCGGGGGATGGAGGAGTGC